AATGGTACCCAGCCATTCTGCTCTGGCTGGGTTTATTTTTCATGGATGGTGTGTGGGGGCTGTGGTTGATGGTTGGCTTCTCCCTGCAACTCAGGAAAGCACCTCTTCTCTGAAACCTCCTATTACTTAGTCCTGGTTTTACCTCTGTGAAGTTAAATGAAAACATTTCATTTCTTCTAACATTCAGAAATATCGGTGGCCGATGGCTGGTCTTCAACCTCCACCTACCCTCGGTCCTTTGCTTTCCTCATCCCACCAATGGGGCTCTTACCAGAGCCCATACCCCCATCATCTCCTTTATGCATTAACCCCTTGTTATGGTTAATTTCTCTTGTCAACTGGACATAATCTAGAATAGCCTGGGAAGAGTCTAAATGTTGGATCATCTAGATTAGGTTGGCCATGGGGCATGTCTGTGGAGGATTATCTTGATTACTTATGTAGATGAGAACTATTCCACAAACACATGGAATCGGTATGGCCATGCAGTTATGGCCATGCCCCTGTGGTTGAACTTCAAGCAGGCAGTCTTTACAGATGTAGACATCATTGCTGTAGGTCAGGAGCTCTGCCCCCTTGCCCTTTTCTCCCTGGTTATTGGACTGGGAAACTGTAGGCCTTGTTGATGTGAGGACCCTGGCAGCCCCTCTGCCCTCTGTGCATGGGGTCTTCCATTCTCGGTGCCAGAGCTCTAAGCCCCGCCCCATTGAGATGGAAGTCCCCTCACCCTCACGGTGTGGAGAGGGTTGCACACCATGTACCTGCCTTCTGCACTGAGGGCTGCTGTGTCTACACTTCCAGTCACTCGCCTTCTTCTGCTCCCTCTTCATCTCTGTGAGGATGTTACAGACACCAATATTATACCTTTCTGCTATTGATGTGAAATTTATCTAAATCATTTCAAGTTCACAATTTAGTGACATTCACAATGTGTGCATGAACTACCATCTGTCTAGGTTCAAACCATCCTCACCTTCTCAGAGGGAACCCATGCCACTAGCTGGGTCTGGCTGCCACCAGTGGTGTTCTGTCTTGGCAATTACTGATTCTGGCTATTTCTGTGAAATCTATACTTGGGGTTATTTGTATGTGACAGTGTGGGCTGGATGTGTTTGTGGAATTGTTCTACATTCTGGCATACGTCAGCATTTTATTCTTTTCTGTGGCTGGATACTAGTCCATGGTATGCATGAACCCAAATCCTCTTCTCCATCTGCCCACAGATGGATGTTTGAGCGATTTCCATTGTTTGGCCATGTAAGTGATATAAGCTGTGCACATGTACTTGTTTAGGAACCTGATTTGAATCCTTGGGGCAGGATTCAATCCTCAGAGTGAAATTAAAGGGTCACAGACAGTTTTCTGTTTTAGTTTTGGAAAAACTGTCAGACTATACACCGCCTTTTAAGAGAGTATCTTCACTTTGAGACTTTTCTGTGTAACAAAGACAAGGAAGCTGGGTAGAAAAGTCTCATCTGGGCGGCAGGGCACCTCGCACCAACAGCTGGGTGAGCCTAAGCACATCACTTGCTCTCCTCGGCTCTTGATTCCTCATCTGAAAAGTGAAGAGATGATTAAAATTAAATAGCTCTTATAACATTAAGTAACCTTTGAGCTTTCTTCCCAAGAACGAAGGAGGAGGGATTTATCAGGCAGCAGGATGTGGTTGATGTCTTGATGTCCTTTATCTACGATGCTGTTAAACTGTGAATTTCAAACATCCCCAACAGCTGGACATTTTCCTGCCAATGTGTTTCTGGTTGATGAATAGCTTCTGGCTTCCTGGCTCCATTGATTCCCAGAATGAACACCCCTCCCTTTCCCATCACTTCTGCTACTTGGCAGGTCCTGAGCCAAACATGATGGTCAGGGAGCCCAAACCGAGACTTCCCTGTCATGCCTTCCCTGAAGGAAGCCACACCATGCTGGGACTTGAGCTAGAGAGTTGGACTAATCTCTATAGCTGAAGCATCTGAAGTGGAAACTTAAGGGTTCTTTGGAAAGTCAGTTGGATGGTGTTTTGCTGGGCAAACTTATGAAAGGAGTTTAGCTGAAGCAGACACAGGAGAAAGGATGTTCTGCTAAAGCAAGCATGTGAAAGGACACATGAGGAAGGATTCTTTGCTAACAACACACATGTATTGGTCCTTCTTACATCAAGTAGTTGAGCTGCACTTGTTGGGACTCCATAGAGTGAAACATACCAAAAAACTTCTGGTGGTATGCTGCAGTTTCTTGCTGCTTCTGCAGACTCAGGCTGATTATCAGAGTGATGTCAGCTGAGACAGATGCACATGCTGAGGCGAGACCCATGGAGGACACGTGATATTTGGAGGGAGTATAAATAGGACTCAACGGACAGTGCAGGAGGCTGAGCTAGGCTTGCTTACAGAGGTAGCCGTGCAATGCTACCGCTTGTGGGTCTTGCATCTTCCCTGGGAGAGACACAGCCGAGAACTTCTCCTGGTGTTCCTCCTGGTCCCTCCTGCTGACTGGTGCTGAGGCTGAGGCTTGGCTGTCTCTGCTAGGTAGTGCCACTGCTGCTGTTTTCTGTTTGCTATCCTGACTCTACCAAACTAGACTGCTGGTATATCCATGAAGTGTTTGCAAGTGGATCGAGCTGCCACTGCTAACCTTTGAACTGAACTGCCGATTTCCAGATAACATAGACAGGAGTTGTTTCAAAGAACCTTTCTAAACAGGTCCACTCCCTACTCCCACTCCTTTCTTTTCTACTATGTCTAGTGGGTGGTGGGATAAAGGGAGGTTAAAGCCTTTAAGAACCATCGTTAAAAATAGGTTTTGAAAAAAAATTAAAGTCCCAAGCATCAGTGGCCTCTCTGGAGGACAGTGTAAGGGCCATCTTGGTGACTTGATTCGTGGGATGCCTCCTAGCCAAAGGGGCTGTCCTTGGAAGATTTTCTGCTCTCTTGTCTTCTTCCAGCTCATTGGCTTCCTGGCAGTGTCTGACCTATAAGGAAGGAGATTGTTCCCATCTTAGTTACTCACCAGTTTGTGTTTTCTTATGCTACCTGGTAGTTTTCTAGAGAAACAGATTCACACACACACACACACACACACACACACACACACACGACCTGTGCACACCAGACCTGTGCAAGCTCCAGCTGGACAAAATCCCAGCATGGAGTGGGAGAAGGTGAGCACAAACTCCGCCACTTGCTGAGGAGCTGTTGGCATTTAATGGCTGCTGGGAGAGAAAGTCAGTTTTCTCTAACGATGTGACCTTTAGTAGGGCAAGGGCAGACCCACTCCCAGGAGTAGCTGGGCAACACAAACTGGACTGGATAGGATTTAAATAAAGATGAAAACTCAAACTTGGGTAGGTAAGGAGGGGAAGGGAGAGGAAGTATGGGGAAAAGTGGGGGAGGGGATGAATGTATTCAAAATATATTTTATGAAATTCTCAAAGAATAAAATCGTTTTTAAAACAATACCATCTAAGTAGCTTATTTCATTTATTTTGCTCACTCATTCACTTTCTTACCCATCCTCATATCTGTCCATCACAGACTCTGGGGGCGACTATGTCTTTGATACTGTGGTTAATTACTGAGACTGGATAATAAACAAATTTTCCCACGTGTGGAGCCGTCACGTGACTTTTTTGGGACGAATGCAAAGCAAAGGGTGCCGTTGAGGGAGTGGAAGCAGGAATGTAGAACAGATAAGTGACACTTGGCAGATCCTAAGGGAAGAGGCCAAGATCACAGGCCGTCCTGCACAGATGTCAGTCTTTCCTAGATCGGTGGTCAAGACATCCTGTGCTGAGATCCTGGAAGAACAGCCGGGGAGACAGAGAAAGACCAGATAGGCATGTGGTTAAAAGCTTCAAGCCAGTAAAGGAGGTTAGCTTGAACTTGGGAACAATAGAGAGAGGTATCTAGAAATGGCGTGTTTGTATTCATACTTTAGAAATTACAATTCTGGTCATAGATGGAGAATGAAGGGCGGAGGGGGATAGGAGCAGCAGGGCTACTTAGGAAACCGTTACAGCCGCTCTAGCCTGGAACACTGGTGGTCAAAACCAAGGAGGTGTGCATGGGAAGGGAAGTAGGTGGCTAGAGGCCAGATACACACACACACACACACACACACGGGGAGGGGGTTAGTGCTGGTTGCTGACATAAATATGATCCAGAATCCTTCATTCTGACGTGGGGAGGTGATGACTGGTGAAGTTTCCTGCTTCAGGACTCCACGTCAGTGGCTTTGTCTCAAGGAGCAGTTACCTGGGCCCTGTTCTCTACCTACTTAGGATGAATGGGTGTGTGCGCAGTTCACTTTGGGCTTCAGATTCCAGCTAAAAAGAAAAAAGAAAAAAAAAAGCAGGGATAGAATTGTGTGTCCAGCTGATACAGATGTTCGCTGAGGGAAGCTGGGGGGATTCTGGAGTTGTAATCTGCTGCCTCGCCCTTTGGCTTGGCCCTGTAACTCTGGCAGGCTGGAGTTTCAGGCAGTCTCAGAGTGTTGACATCTCCTTGGACAGTCTTCTCCCTTCTTCATGGGACCAAAGAACATCACTGAGGTCGTATTTTTGTTTCCTTACCCAAACACATTCTTCTCCAAGCACACTCAGCAGATGGTCCAGGGAGGCTTTGAGCTTGGTATATCTCTTCCAGGCCTGTATGTAGGCCAGTATGTCTTTTCATGACTGCTCTATGCAAGGCTGTTTTTCTAACATCGTGAGTCTCAATTACTGGTGGATTTGTCCTCTTGGGACAAGCAGCAATGTCCAGAGATATTTTTGATTGGCATCAGGACTGCCTGAGCCCTACTGACATTGGATGTCTCCAACACTACAATATACCAGACAGTTCCCATTCCACAGACTGTTGGGTTCCAAGGTTAGAAACTCTGGTCTAGAGGGTCCCCTGCTGTGGTCAAGAGGCCTCTTGAGTCTTTGGAGACCCTGAGAGTGAGTAGAATAGAACATGAGTGCAAGAGAAACTAATTTGCTGTTGTTTTTCTTTCTCCAGCTGAGCGCTGTCTGGAAAGCCCACATAGAGCGGCACAAGGCATCAAGAGCCCGTGGGCTGGGCAGCAGGGAGCAGGGCCTGGTGCTGAGGATGGCCAGGCAGCAGGCGCCACCCTGGGTCCACATAGCCCTCATCCTCTTCCTCCTCAGCCTCGGAGGGGCCATTGAGATTCCGATGGATCGTGAGTTCTGTGCCCTCTCTTCCCCTTTTACTCCTGATCTTAGAGAATGGGTGCTGGGGAGAGAGATCAGGGAGGTGAGGGAGGTAGAGAGTAATAGCAGATTCCAGGCTTCAGAGCTGGGTTTTTCTCAAAAGACTTGATGTAGGCTTCTGCTGGGTGTGAGCCTCTTCTTGGGGCTGTGGTTAAGCTGGTTGGTGTCCGTGTTGCCCGGGACCTGCTGAGAGGAATCAAGGATAACCTAGTTTGGGATTCTGAGAGTCACCTGGAGTTGTTCCCTCTACTAATACCCCCACACCCATGGCCTTGACGTACCCTTTCTAAAGGCAGCTTCCTGGACCACATGTGGTGGGCTGTCCTAATTTACCTCTCTAGCTTGATACCCCAGAGCTGATGTCCAGCTGTAATAAGGAAGATGGTGAATAACCTGGTAGAGGATCAGGAAAGGCATTATCTTTGTAAAAGTCACAGCCAAATGAGATGTTAAACCATATTACGTTACCATAGGAGAGCCAGATACAGGTTCTTCCTGTTCCAGAATTCCCTAGGTACTATCAAAAAGGGGGGGGGAGTCATTTCTACCCCTGGTGGTGGAGCCCTATCTGAACCTGGCATGCTAAGCTAATGTCTGGATCTCTAGCTATCGACTCTATTGCTGTATTCAATGAGGGCTGTTGATCAGTGCCTTGTTCCTTGGCCCTGTTTGCAGGCATGTGCCCGTTGCCATAGTTTTGACACTTGTAGTGGATGTCTTTCTTAGCGTCCTCGAACTGAGGTACAGGTATGGCAGCTCTGCCCCCTGTTCTCGGCCTCAAGGAATTCGTGGAGCCCATGTGATCCCAAGACAGACTTGGGCACTCTCCAGTTAACAGATGACTGAAGGAGGTGGAAGATGAAGGTGGCCTCCAAGAAGGCCCCCACAGGGCACTAAAAAAGTCAGACCTCTTCCACTACAGTAACAGCTATCCAAGAGGAGCCTACCCTTCCAGATGACAGAGACCAGTAACAACTATGAACTGATCCCAGAAGCAAGCTGGGCATGCTCCCTGAGTGTGTACACACCAAAGGAGCAGGAGAGGAGAGCTCCAATACAGGCGTTCCCATGGTGACCCTCTAAGGTTGGCTCAAAGAGCAGTCTCATTAACAGCCGGGCAGACAATCTAATAAGCATCGTGATAAGGGCGTGTCCCTGGAGAGGAGGTACAGAGGAAATTGGGTTATCGAGATCTCTCTCGGTGAAGGCTCATTTCTGCTGCTTCTCACCTGCTGTTAGATGCTCAGGGCTGGTAGGGGAGGGGCACCTGCCAAGCAAACACAGAAACAAATGGTATGGACTTCTATATTGAAAATATGGATTTCCAAACTCTATTGGAGATGGAGATGCAACAGGAAGACCACATATTGCCTGAGGCAGAAGACTGAGGGTCCTGACTTTCTCACCACACCCTCCTCATCCCAACTTCCTGGCGGAGACCCATCCTTTTACGATGTATACACACACAGACCAGGCGCTTCCTTTCTTAGGGTCACACCTCTCACAGTGATAAAGTCAGAATGGAGTCTGCATCCTTTGACTCTGCTATGGCACGCTGATCCTGCTTCCTTTTAGTCTTTGGACCTCGGTGGACAGGGACCTCCGTGCTCTGTGGAGCTCACTGCATGTGGTTTTCACAGTGAATCTGGATGCAGGTGCTGCCCTTAGCTGGCATGTTAGGAAGCAGGAAAGGGACAGAGCCAGCACCTGGCAGTAGCCTCCCTGGGAGGAATCTCTCTCCACGTGACTGTAGTTGGTATGGGTTGTCAGCATGGACACCCCATAAAGCACTGCACCTCCCTACCTCCCACACCCCAATGTCTCTTCTGCAGAACTGAACTCAAAACAACACAGCAAAGGCAAGGACTTCCTTGGCTGGTTTCTCCTCAGGCTTAGCCACTACCCTTTCCACATCCTCTGAGCTCTGGGATCAGGACAAGTCGGGTGTTTCTAGTGTACACCCTTTGTTGGTAGGGTGGGGCTGAGGGTATTGGGTTGGAGACTGGTTTGTCATGTGTCTCCTCCATTTGTCCCTTCAGGGCATTCTCTGTGCCTCTAGAGCAGGGACACTGCTTCCACTCTGGGGCTTGGCACAGCAGCTTTCTGGAGCAGCACCCTGGGAGGCTGCACAATCCCTTATTGAAGTGCCCAGCCTCTGGCTCCAACTGCCTTGCCAGCAAAGTCACACGCCACATCCCTTCCATTAGCCCGGAGGAGAACAGCGTGACCTTTGAAAAAAAGTAACGGGTCACCTCATCAGCCAGCGGGGCTTTGCCAAAAAGTGAGTTTTCTGGGAGCTTGTGAGTACTTTCCTTCTCCCTTCCACTCAAGGGAATCAGCATTTCCTCCTAAGAGCCCACAGAAGAGGACAGCAGAAGGGAGAGATGCTTGCCCACCTTATCTAAACGGGGCTATGGGATGTAACACACCCATCCCCCAACTTCCAACCTCCCAGGATGTAGCCCACGAATCAACTATCAGAGCCCAGGAAGAAAAGAGCATAAAGACAGAGCCCTGGAGTCAGGGCAGATGCAGGCTTACCCCAACAGAGATGGATTGGACTGTCCTTTCCTTCTGAAACCAAAAGAGCAAATCATTTTCCACCTGACATCGCCAGACAGCAAGCTCTGAAAGGAAAGGGCATGCAGTGGGGTGACAGAGAAGCACTGTTGTCCTTGTTCTCAGACAGGCTGTCACCGGCGCCACCACAACTTGTCTTGATTCTGTCCCAGCAATAACACCCTTGGGAGCACGGTGGTGACTGAGATGTCATTGTTCCATTAGGCAGGCAGATGCTGAAGAAGCCCTTGTCAGGTAGGCAGCATAAGCTGGGGACAGTAATCAGTCAGGTCTTATCTGACTTGGGAATCTCCACTCAAGGAAGTACCTACAGTCTCCCTTGTCCACACCATCATGGACGGGAGCAGCATGAGGCCTGCACCCAGCTGACTCACTTCTAGGGATGGATTTCGAATGCTCTGCAACAACCTCTGGGGAAGCTAGTACCCATCTGTCTCTGAAGCCAGCATCCACAGGACTGGAGACATGTGACCACCCCTCTGAATTCAAGATGCTCTGATAGGGGACCAGAGCCTGGGAGTGGAGGTCCATGAGGACCAAGAGGCATCACTGCATCCTGAAATGAAGCCAGAGTCCAGCTGGAAGTTAAAAGGAATGTGCTTAAGTGCCAGTCCTGCCTGTCTGGAGACTGGTCCCCTCTCTCCCTTGTCCCCTCCTGTGCCAGCCGCAGGATCTTTCAGTATTTTTTAGAATATCTGTTCTTGGCAGGAAAACCACATGCAGGTGAAGGTGCCAACACAGGGAGCACTTCAGAGCCTGTGTTCAGAGTGGGCGCACCACAGAGCCTGTATTCAGAGCCTTGTTGGCTTTCCTTTAAGGTTTTTCATTCCTTTGTTTCCAGCCCAGGCAGACCTGGACAGGTGACGAGCAGAATGTCCCTTCATTACCCGGAGGGTCACACCACCTAGCTTGTGAAACCTTTCTAAAAGCCATACCACAAAGCCTTTCCTTTGCAGGCAGCCTGTACAGTGGCCTGCTCATTTCTGCCATGCTCTCCCTTATCCATGTTCTTTTCTCTGCTCCTGTGACTCTCTTGGGCCAAGGTGAGCCCTGGCTCCCTGCAAACTGCCCTTTCTGAGCCTGCACCTCTTCCTCCAAATCTCTTCACTCTGGTGGGAAGGCATCAAGCTCTCCAGGACTGCTTTAAAGCACACTACCTCCTGCTTTCCCCAACAGCACTCACTCTGAAAAGGGCAGCCCAAGGTCCCCATGCACCAGAGTGACATGAGGATCTCATGGTGCTCCCTCCTGGTATCATAAGGAAAGATACGAAAGAGTCCTAGAGACATGCTTTTGTCTTTTCTCCACATTTGATCCAAGGCTTGCTTTCCACATGGAAAACCTTGCTACTAACAGCATGGATCATAGGTCTCAGCACCAGCTAGGCATTTGTCAGAATTGTAAGACTTAGAGTAGATGCAGTGCCATTGTTAGAGCACTCGCCTGATGTCGGTAAGGCCCTGGGTTCCATCCCCAGCCTGGACAGAAACAAGATAGAATCCAAGCGCTACAGCAGACCATCTGAGGCAGAGCCTGCATCTTCTCTACCTGATGGTGATTCATCTGCTTGTCAGGGTGTGAGAAGCCTGTACAGGGCTCATGAGATCAGACAGGGCTGGTGAGGATGTGTGCAGCCTGCCTCTTTGACCTGCTTGTAAAAGACACAAGAAGGAACGGTGGGCTTGGCCACATGCCAAGATTCTGTCATTCAGGAACAGGGTTTTTGTAGAACATATTTTTATGTAAGAGGGAAGCAGTGTGGTGACAGGGTGAGGTGCTGTACTCTCAGAGCTTCTATACTTTGGGCCTTTGTCCCATAGAAGTGGTTCAAGTCCTCTTATTCCCCAGCATCTCTATGCTGACCCTATGCACCAAGGCTCCCCCATCCCTCAATGGTGTGAGAGTCCAGGAAGCATCTGAAGAGTCTCTTTCAGACAGTGTTGTCATTTAGGGACATTTGAACTTGCCTGATACCATCTCCCTTTGGCCACTGGTCCTCCCCACTATGTGGATACAATACCTTTTCCATGAAGTATTTGTTTGTTGTGTCTGTTCTCTGGCCTTGCCTGGCCTTTCTGCCAGGCTCTGCATCTGGGAGAAACCCATGCCCAGCACTGTCCCCGTGTTGCCACGGCCCAGTCTTGCATGCTAGAGCAAGACAACACCCGATAGACAGCTGATCAATTGTGTGCAATAACAGTGTTCTCCTTCTCTCCCCCTCCCAATGCTAACCCACTGGAACTAACAGCAAGCATTCAGAATGAGCGTAAGTGCCTGGTGTGCCTCTATGCCCTTGAGACCCTGGGAGGTGGGAGGTTGGGAAGAGGCCAGGGGAGACGGCTAGACTTGAAATCAATGGTCCCTTCGCTGCCTACTAGTGCTGATCCAGCCTAGAGACCTACAGTGAGTGCTTTACCAATGGAAGAGAACTTCACCAGGAAAGTGGGGGGCAGGTAGGTGGTCAAAAGATCTATAGTTGGCAGCTGGGATACTCCTTAGCAACTGCAGCTCCTTCATCTACTGGTGGCTGGCACTGCACCCCTGGGCAGAACACCAGCTTGCTGGTACACAGGGAAGCCCTTGGGAAACTCTAAGGGACTGAAGCCTCTTTTGGCTCTCGTCTCGACAGTCTGGCCATCTGTTGAGACTCGTGGCTCAGAACCATCGCGGCCCTAAGTTCTACAGTCATAGGTGGTTTTGTTCCGTATCCACTCAGCACATTTAGCAGGAACTGTTGTGTCCTGGCCAGTGCGCTGGGCACAGGGATGTGAGCTTTGGTGAAAGAAAGCCTGGTTTTCACTTACTTAGAGGGATGCTGGATCTTCGTAAAGGGGTTTTTATGCTCAGACTCTGTCATCTATCCCTATCCTAAAACCCTGTTTAAGAAATGGCATTTTTAGAATAGAGTACTTCTCATGTTGCCGGCTTGCCCACTTGCTCAGGTCGCTCCTGACGCTCTTGACTTTAGCCGCTCCCTAAGCAAGGTCAGGGCAGGTCTCCACAGTTCTGACTCTTGCCACATGTGTCCTGTTGCAGTGACCCAACCCCCAACTATCACCAAGCAGTCCGTGAAGGACCACATCGTGGACCCACGTGATAACATCCTGATTGAATGTGAAGCTAAAGGCAACCCCGCCCCCAGGTGAGTGGATGGGGGAGGGGCCTGAAAAGCCACCATTGAAAAGAGTCACTTTCCTCATCTCGGTCATACTGAAGACAAGCAACTGTAAAGTTCTGCACAGGGCTGGAGGGATTGCTCAGTGGTTAAGACTGAGTACTATGCTTGGAGAGGACCTGAGTTCAATTCCAATCATCCCTGTCAGGTGACTCACAGGCATCTGTAACTCTAGCTCCAGGAGGCCACTGCATCTGGCCTCCACAGGAACAGGCAGTCACTTGTACATACCCCCAGAGATACCCCAACACACACACACACACACACACACACACACACACACACACAGAGAGAGAGAGAGAGAGAGAGAGAGAGAGAGAGAGAGAGAGAGAGAGAGAGAGAGAGAAGTAAAATGACTCTTCATTAAAATGTCTGGCTCATCCATACAAAGAATATTGACACCCACCAGGTCCCATACAGGAGGGCTCACTTTTGATTAGCAGGTGTGAAGTGGCCATGTGGCTTAAAACAGCTGAGCAGGGGCTGCTATCTCTGTGTGGTTAGTGAGAAAGTTGCTTCAAAGCTCTGAGCCCCCATTTCCTCCTCCAGAGGGGAAACAGGCAAACCAACCACAGAACTGCCCTTGTATTTATGGTTTTGTTTTACTAGTTTCAGTAAATTTATCTCATAAGGAAACCAGGCTTGAAGGTGTTGAATGGCTTGTTTCTGTTAACGTGAAACCCAGGAATCTCAGTGTGTATCCCAGGCTGGCCTGAAACTCATCATTCTCCTGCCTCAGCCTCCCTTCCTTAGTAGGGTTTCAGGTATGTGTCACTAGAGCCAGCTAGATGTTATTTTCTGACTGTTCTGGGTGACCATCATCCACCCCAGTTCAGGTTATGGGAAGTCCCTATTCCTAGCTAACTCAAGGCTTTCATTCTCAACTTATCTTTGCTTGTCTCAGTAGACAGGAAGGAGAAGCCTGTCCTATCCAGACTGGTCTGTGCTGCTACATGGTCTCATTCATTTGCCCTTCTTCCTCTGTGGCAGAGCCAGTGTCTTCCTGAGAAGACACTGCCCTTGTATACAGTGTCTTCCTAACATTTTAAATGCCTACACCACCAGTCACCAGCTTGACTGAACCAGGGGTAGAACAGGGTTTAGACCCACTCCTTGACCACCAAGGCCAGCTCTGTTTCTTCCAACAAGGTGAAGATGTTAAATAATATGTTACGTTCTCAGAGTAACAGAGTGTGTCTCAGACAATGCAGTGGGGACGGTTGGCTCTGGCCCTGGGTTCTGTGAGGCAGTCAAGCAAATGATGAGCTGAGAACAAGATTGGTCTTTTCCACACGGATCCTCTGAGGGGGACAAGGATTCTGAGTGTCCACCATAGTTCCTGCCTCTTGTGTTTCTACCACATCAGCACAGAGAGCCAAGGATGTGTGCTGCTGGCTTCAGCATCAGGCTGAGGGACATGGTGATGGTGATGATGGTGATGGTGATGATGATGATGTCTCTTCCTCCCTCCTCTTCTTCTTCCTCTTTCCCTCATCTTCTTCTTTCCCTCCTCCTCTTCCTCCCCTCTTCCCCTTCCCTCCTCCTGTTCCTCCCCTCTTCCCCTTCCCTCCTCCTCTTCCTCTCTTTTCATATGAAGGGTAGAACTTCGATCCTTGCACATACCAGGCAAAAGCACTCTCCCCTAGGCCTGTAGGAGCATTTTAGGCCCTTTACAGCTCTGTTTCCATAGCCTGCCAGTTCATTCAAAGCTACCCTTTGATTGGTCCCAGGCTGCTATTCCAGGGTTTTCATGAAGCTCTTGTCAAACAAAGAACAGGGCAGCCTGTGCCACTGATGTTGGCTTCAGAGCAAATTATGCTGTTAAGTCATGGCAGAGCAGACATGGCAACCTTGCATTCCTAGGAAGAGACCAAGAATGTCACAAGGTAAACAAAGTCACTAACACTGGGTTTGACTGGTTTGTTTAAGAAACCACTGACTACCCCCGAGTTATGTGCTCACAGAACAGAACCCACCAGAGAAGCTGAGTGCCTACTACCTGTAGCCAGCCTTAGCTAGTGACAGCATCCATAGTATTCATGGTCCCAGTAGTCATGACCTGGGCCTTTGTATTTTCTCAAGCTTATCAGGGGGCTCTGCTCAGCCAGGCCTGGGTCCGTTAACATGGAGGTGGAGTAGAAGTCTGCCATTGAGTGGGGGACTAGGAATTGACCCATTCCAGCCCTTCCTTATGGTTGACCCAGCCCCTGTCATCCACAGTTTTCACTGGACTCGGAACAGCAGATTCTTCAACATTGCCAAGGACCCTCGGGTGTCCATGAGGAGGAGGTCTGGGACCTTGGTGATCGACTTCCGCAGTGGTGGGCGTCCTGAGGAATACGAAGGGGAGTACCAGTGCTTTGCCCGCAACAAATTTGGCACTGCGCTTAGCAACCGCATCCGCCTGCAAGTGTCCAGTGAGTGCCAGGGACAGGGCTGCTGCTGGCTCCCTGGTGGGTGGGAGGCATGCAAGACGCCCTGCTCTCCACGGGTCTCTCCCACCCCTAAAAGAGTCCTAGAAAGAAAACTTCCAGACTAGTCAGTACAACTGACTAGCTGATCTAAGCACTGGAGGAGGGGAGGGGAGAAGACAACTGAAAATGAGAGTCCACCTTCACCACAAGCTTCTCCCTCCTTTCACGTGCCGCTCTGTACGTCTTCTCTCTTGCCTCCCCCCATTCTCCCATCCCCCCTTCTCTTGGGCCTGCCCAGTCCTTGCTGTCAGCTGCATTTCACCCTCTTCTGTTTCTCTTCAGAATCTCCCCTGTGGCCCAAGGAAAACCTAGACCCCGTTGTGGTTCAAGAAGGTGCCCCCTTGACACTGCAGTGCAACCCCCCACCCGGCCTCCCGTCCCCCGTCATCTTCTGGATGAGCAGCTGTAAGTGTGGGAGCCTGGCCTCTCTGAGCACCCAGCTCCGGGGGGGGTGCAGTGGATGGGTTGAATGGAGGGTATGATGGCTAATATTAATTGTGAACTTGTCAGGCTCTTGAATCAATGTGGAGATGAATCTCTGTCTGTGTGACCAGCTACCTCATATGTCTGCCATCATGGCGGACTTCCCCTGGATTTTTAGGCAAAAACCAAATAAGCAACAAAACAAAACAACCATTCCTTAGTTGCCTTGGTTGGCAGAGATGCCGCAGCAGGATGGAAACTCTCAGGAGGACTCACTCTTGAGTCCAGAGGCCAACTTGTGAGAAGCAGATGTGAAGTGACCACGTGGCTCAGACAGCTGTACAGAGAGGTTGACGTTACTGTGTGGTCATGAGCAGGTGGCTTCAGAGCTCTGAGAAGATGGCTCTGTACACTGCCATTGTCCCTCTCTTCCTCCTCACACACGTGGGGAAGGGTGGCTGGCCGTCAACTGGTTGGTTCCAACTCTCTTCTCTCACCTATTACATCACATTTATGGCTGAGTTAAGTCCGTGACACCCCTTGAGTAGCTCTCATGGCCCTCCTCTTCTGTCTGTCCTCACTGACATCTCCCCAGGCCACAATCTCATCCATAGCGTCTCCCTAGATCTTAAGAACGGAATCCGATAGCCTCATTTGCATGTTTTTACTGGCTCCTCTCTTGCTTCAGGACAAGCCCAGACTCCTTTACCTGGGACAGTCACCTTTGTGACCTGCTCCTTTTGCCCCTCCAGCCCTTTCCCTTCACCCTTCAGCTCCAGGAGGGCTTCATATCCTTCCTGCCTTCAGACACACTCCTCCAGCTCCTCCGGCTCCTAAGGACCTTGGAGGTCTATCTTTGTGCTTGACACAGACATGCACATTTCAGGGTTCTCCTCAGGACCCCTAGAGGACAAGTCCCCTCTGCAGTCCCACCCTTCCCCCCGGTTCACACTCCTCTCCACACCACATTACAATGGTTCATCTATTGCCATTCTCTACTGATAGGCTGAGGGTTTGTCTTTCTTTTCCCAACCCCTGGAACATGTGACCTGGCACATAGTAGGCCCTCAGCAGATCTCTGAGGAGCAATTTGAAGAGTGGATCAGCTGTGGTGGGACATCAGTTGCATCACTGACATGAAAAAGAAGCTGTGGGGACAGGAAGTAGATCAGGCGGGAGTGTAGGTCAGCGGACCGACAGCTGACCCGACATCCTCAGCCACACCTGTGTGGGGACATTCACTCTCCACTCTGAAGTTCGCTGTCTCTGAAACTGGAAGCCCTCTTAAAACCGACAGTGTGGACCATCAGTTGCCATACATCTGACAATTATAATTGAAAACGGCATTTCTTTCTCTTAAGGGTAAACAAAATAAAAGTCCGTCTTCTAATTGATGACGGCTAAATTTTGATTAGCTGCAGCAAGGCCAAGTTCAGATACACTTAGCGCACTATTGAAAGCCCTGTGTGCTCTGGCATCGGCTGGGTACTGAGGTATAAAGATGAAAGAGTATCGCTTGTTGCCTACACAGTGCTCCTTATGGAGTGTGTGCACTGGATTCCTGACTCAAGGAGCAGGCAAAGGCTTGTGTTCTCCCTCTGACCTCGAGATCAGTCACGTTGTGGCATGAGCGGGAGTCGGAAAATGGCGGCTACAGAACCTGGGCCATGTGAGCATGTCCATGTGGATTTGAATGCACCCTTGCATGCATTCAGCCCTCCGCATCCCTATGAGGAGGGGGCACACCCTGCTGCAGCATTGGGAGGAGCTGACTAATGATTGGAAGCTCCAGATCCCATGTGGGTCTCCTGAACTGCAGTGACAGTTATCAGGGAATCCGCCTGCTAACCTCCTGTCGCCCCTCTGCTTCTCCACAGCCATGGAGCCCATCCCCCAGGACAAGCGTGTCTCCCAGGGTCATAACGGGGACCTATACTTCTCCAACGTCATGCTGCAGGACATGCAGACCGACTACAGCTGCAATGCACGCTTCCACTTCACCCACACCATTCAGCAGAAGAATCCCTTCACCCTCAAGGTCCTCACCAGTAAGTGGAGGCCATGCTCAGGGCTGAGGTCATAGGACGCAGTCCCTAAGAACACATGTCATTGATGTCAGAGGCTGCTGGCCCAGGATCCTCTCTGGCTCACTGTGCCTGAGCTACCCTGGCTCAGATGCCTTATGCAACATCTGAGGATGCAGAAGCCTTGTGTCAAATGTAGTCCTATGCTAAGCCAGTGTCTGTACTTCAGTAGGAATCAGAGTCACATCCTGAGGCCCAGCCCTATCTTACCTCAACAGGCTTGGGCTCTCTGGGGCCCTCAGTGCTCATTCAAAAGTTCCTGAAGTTAGAGATGACTTTTAGTGACCGGCACATCAGGACTCCCTGGTGTGCACTCAGCTCATGTCTTTCACTTGTAGTCATTGATTGCCTGTGTTTCCAGGAGAAAGCCAGTGCATAAGATAGTAGCATCAGTGGACACACTGAAAAAATTGTGTTCAGTTCTGTAATGTGTATTTGCGGAGCTACATGGACATCCTGTGTCTATAAACTGCAGATTCATTTCACATTGTGGGGTTTAGTTTTATCCCCTTATTGTTTCTGACTAATAAAAAAAATAATTAAAAATTCCCTGACCCACTATAGTAGTGGTGGCTTTCTACAGGACAAGCCAGGCAGAAGCTTCAGCTGTGGGTCCTTCACTTGTTCAGGCTATTGTCTGGGTTTATTTACACCATGGATATGTAACATGGCTTGAAGAGGGCCTTCTGGAGAGCCTCTAATCTGTCTGGCTCATGCTGTGAATGTCATCGTCGCTGTTGTGCTGTGGATGGTGAGGGATGTGAGGACTCCAAGCTAGGGGTACCATAGGTCAAAACAAGGCTGAGCCTCAGCTTCCCAGAGGCCTGCCTCCAGGGGCTCATGCAGCCCTGGGGAGTCCCCTGGGGAAAAGCCTAGATCCCTTGTTCAGCACTGGGAGGCCTCTTTAGTCTACACTGGTGGTGGGCAGGTGCATAGCCTCATCCTCAGGGATGTAATGCCTTCCCATAAGAAACATCATCCTCTAGTTTGCTTCTTGTGGTTTCTTCCTCTTTTGTCATCTTCTTCCTCCTCCTCTTCCTCCTCATCCTCCTCGTTCTCCTCCTCCTCCTCCTCTTCTTCTTCTTCTCCTTCTCCTTCTCCTTTTCCTTCTCCTCCTCCTCCTCCTCTTCCTCCTCCTCTTCCTCCTCCTCCTGATTTTCTTCCTTTCTTCTTTTCTTTCTTCCTCTTCTTTGCTTTCTTTTCTTGCTATTTTTCCCTCTGAACACTTTTGCCCCTCCTCTGATCACCTGCCTCCTTGTCTATGATCTGTCTTTACCAGTGAGTGTTGTCTGCCAAGATGAGACAGACAGCCCAAGGGATTACTCAAAGCCCAGCAAGGAGCCCTGCCAGATGCTGCAGAGTCCCTGGCTCTCTGACTCCTGAACCCATCCCTAGGAGACCCCTGGGAAAGGAAGTTGATTTGCCTGCTGTGCCTCTTCAGTGTACTTCAGGTGACTCTGCCAGCTGGCTGAATGAAGGAGGACAGTGTGGTCTGCCCAGGACCTCTGAGTGGCCTCAGTTAGGACAGGGCCAGCAATGAGGAGGAGCCAGTAGGAGGGACAGTGCTGTCCAGAGAAGGACGATCCTGCACAGCCTTCATGTCCACCTAGAAAGGGTGATGCCGGAAGTCAGTCTGCTGCTGCAGGGCATGAGCCAGGTGCCATGCAGTTCTGGGCAGAGCCTGGGAGCATATGCAGGTTAAATGACACTTAGATATGAAACTTTCCAGAAGCATTCTTTTCTCTAGAGGAAGTCAGTAAGGGATACTTGTCTCTGCTTGACTTCAAGTCGCCTGTCCCATTGGAAACTCTCTCCTCCAAATGACAAGAACCCTTCTTGGTAACCTGAACAGAATGCTACCAGCTTCCTGGAGTCCTCCCAAGAGCAGCTCTGGCTGGAAACAAGTTCTGAGCATCCGAGCCAGCCTAGAATTGGGCACAGTTTCTTAAAATAGCACAGTTGAGCTCTGTTGACTTTCCTGTCTAGAAAGGGCATAGGCTTTCTTTACCTCCTTCAGAACCTGGCCTGGGTGGGAAGCCAAGCTGTCTGCCTGTAGTCTGCCTTTGGGAACAAAAGTGGTCTTATTACACTATTTTTATTAATTGCATCAAAGGAAGAGGAGAAAGATATACACATATATAGATATGTATAGATGTATATGTCAAAATACCAGACAGCCTAGACGTTATTTTTAATCTGTTTTAGAATGAAGTATAAGGTAACCAGGTTGAATCAGACTGACAAAGACTGTCATGTGACTTTGTCCATGTGACAGGCATAAGGGCTCTTATTGCTACAGTAGGAGGCATCCTGGTGAGAGAGGAGGGTGTCTGCCGAGGCGGACAGTGGAGTACACACTACACTTCCTGCCTGTGTTTAAATGGTATCCCTCAAGGACAGAGTCTGCCTCAATCTCTTACACATGCTCCCACGGTTGTAGCAAGCTTGGCATGTTGCTCCTCCCCGGAAGAGAGAGAGGCTGTGTTATATCTGGGAGTATGGGAGTGAAAGAGAAGGAGCGCCTGTTAGCTGAACCTGCCACTATCCGCCTCCAGCCCCCCCCCCCAAGAGGAAAAAGAGAACCTTCTCTCCCAAGCACTGCCTCAGTCCAAATACCTGGTACCACTGACCTCTTCGTTCCACTATGGAGCAGTTCCCACCTTCATTCATCCAAACTGACTTCCAGAGCAGCCAGGTCTTTCTCAACAGCCACATTATCAGAAGTGGTTCTGATATGAAAATCCTCCCATCGCTGATTGTAAAGCAGACTAGGGGTGAAATTTAATGCCAGGCCCAGGAAAGAACTTGCATGCCCTCTTACAATTGCTTGAGATGGGATTTGATCTGCCTTTAAATATCCAAATGTTCTAACACAGCCTCTGGCCTCCCCTAGGAAGTTGGACTGTGTCCTGGCTTCTCAGGCTGTCTGCTTGGCTTCTAGTCAGTCAGCTGCACACTCCCTCCCCTGTGGGTACTGTCAGAACTTGAACCCTCGAACGGGGTGGGTAGAGAGTAAAACAGCTACCTAAGGACAGACTTATGTTTATGTGTCCTGTTCTAAAATGTCTTCATTGAAGATTGAAGGACCTCTCTTTAGTCACTTACATTAGAATGACAGCCACTGATACTCCTTTTTAAAGAAAGTTCCTGCCTCTGTGTTTTCCAGAGAGCTCTGGGTCTCAGACAGAGCATGGATCGGCTCAGCTTGCTGTCCTGACCTAAACTTTCCTTCAGGAACCTCCACCAGGGTCTCCTACCAGAGCTCTGTTAGGGTCTACAGTGATGGCCACCTGGTCGCACACATGCTCAGACATACGAGCGCGCATGGACGTAGGAGGGCATGTACACACACGCACGCACGCATGCACACCGACCCCCATGTAGTCTAGCTGCTGCCAGGCAGGCTTTGCTGCTCTGCAGGTCTCATTAACACTCGTTTTTCTCTAGCCAGTCTCACGTGGAGTCCTGGGGCCCTGGGGAGACGCTGGTTCAAAGCCAGCTACAAGATGCTTCAAGACACTAATTCTTACCTCATTTGTTCAAAATATAGATGGACCAAGCCAAGTTCAAGCCTAATATCTTTACTTTCAAAATAATCTCGTTTTATTATTGCTTTCTTTTGCAGGACTTAACCACTTTGTTTTCTTTGAGCTCCTTTGCGTTGATTGTTCACTGCCAAGTGCGTCCCTTTTCCAGCTGTGTCGTTTTCTTTTGCAAACCCCACTGGTGCTCTCCTCAGTTGTGATGTGGCTTTGCATTTCTGTTCTCTCCCTCCTCGTGTTCGTGCCCACACCTGCTCCGTCCTCCCTGTTTGCTCACCCTCTTTTGTTTATTGCAGACAACCCTTATAATGACTCGTCCTTAAGAAATCACCCTGACATATATAGTGGTGAGTCCGAGGAGTAACTTCTCCTGTCCTAATCCACTTTGGCTAACTTGACTGATACCATGACATTAACTCCTGCTGGGTGGCAGAGTGGACAGCTGGCCAGGCCAGGTGCCAAAGGGGTCACCTCAGGACACTGTCCACCTGGAGCAAGGTGGTCAGTGGGAGTCTGAGGTGGGCTCCCACCGAAAGGATTTCCTCCAGTGTGCAAGTCTCCATTTGCTGAATTCTCAGAAGGCGGCTTCAAGCAAGGGAGATCTCCATGAAGGACTCAGCGGAGACTTAAGGATCAGCGACAGATGGATGGAAAGTGGACATTTGCATCACCGTGTCCAACATATCTGAAAAACAACTTGAGAGACGAGAGATTGTGTCAGCTTACAGTTCAGAACATTTTGGTCCATCATAGCAGGACACAGGCACACGGTCACTATTAGCAGGAGTTTATTGAGAGACTGTTCACGTCACAGCAGACTAGGAAGCAGAAAGCAAGGCAGGAACCGAGGGTCAGATGCCCTTCAAATACCAACCTCTGGTTATCTACCTTTACCGCAGACCACACTTCTTGAACATCCCACCCACCACTACCTCAGCACCATAAGCTGAGGACCAACCATGAGCCAGGGCAGGGGTACGTTTCAGATTTAACTGTCACAGAGGCTATTTGAGAATAGTTGAGAGTCCACCGTCAGGAAGAAACAGGAAATCCGGTTTCTATTTGGTAGTATAAAGAGCACAGCCAGCTTTTGTTAACTCTTCAGTGTCTGGGTATGAATTGCCTGCTTTAAAGCCTCATTTTGTTTTCCCCTGAGAGTACTTTGTCACAGGCAGGTCCCAGAGCTCTTTGAAAGCTGGAGAGACAGCTCAGCAGTTAAGAGCACTGACTGCTCTTGCAGAGGGCCCAGGTTTAATTTCTAGCACTCAAATGGTGACTTAGACCCACTTGTAACCCAGTTTCATGGAATCCAACACCGTCCCCTGGCCTCTGCAGGAATCAGGCATGCACATGGTGCACAGACATGCATGCTGGCAAAATATGCATATGCATAAGATAAAAGTAAATAATTTTTTTTTAAAA